TATTCATAAACATTTTCTTTAACCACTATACCCATTTCTCCATTTTCGTTTTCTCTCCCCATTCCCCATTCTCTCTCTCAAACACCCTTTTCTTCCGCACATTATTCCTTCCCCCTCCCCATTAACCCCTCTCCTCCCACTTCAACCTTGCCGTTTCTCCTTTTTCTTCCCCTTCCACACTCCTAATTCCCACTCCTCCACTCTCCCCATCCCCCCAACCACCCTCCCAATTCCCCCCTCCCCACCACCCTCCCAATACCCCTTCCTCCCCAACCACCCTCCCCCCCCACCCCCTCCCCTCCCCTACCACCCTCCCAACCCCCCCGCCATCCTCCCCCTCCCCAACCACTCTCCCCACTCTCCCCTCCTCCCCCCCCACACCTCCACCCCCCTCCCCCCCCTCCCACCCCCCCACCCTCTCCTTCCACCCACTCCCCCCCACCCGAAGGAAATAGATAAAAATATACAAATATTTGCCCCAACCCTTCCGGCCGGCAAAAATTCAAGGAAAATAATTCCGGCAGGTGGCTGAGTCTCCGCGTACGAGATTTAATAAAAGTTGCTGAACTTAATTTTGCAATGAATTATTTAGGTCGAGTGCTTTTTGAGGGCGCGGTTGCACGACTGTTTTGCTCTCTTTCTTTCTTGCTTTTTTTTATTTTGTTTTTGTTTTTTTTTTTTTTCTTTTTTTTTTTTTTTTTGTGTGTGTGTTTTTCTGCTTACCATTTTTGTTTATGTTTTCTTTCTTTCTTTCTTTTTTACTTTTTTTTTCTTCCTCTTTTGTTTTTGTTTTTGTTCTTTTCTTTTCTTCTTCTTCCTCTTTTTGTTTTGTTTTCTCTCTCTCTCTTTTCTTCTTTACTTTTCCTTTCTTTTTCGTTTCTTCCTTTTTTTCTTTTATTTTTTTCTTTTTCTTTTTTCTCTTTTCATTTATTTTTCCCTTTTCTTTTATTTTTCTTTTATTTCTTTTTCTTTTTTTTCCTTTCTTCTTTTTCCTTTTATATTGTTTTCTTTCTATATATAATTCCTTTTTGGATGTTCTTTGTTTGCTTGTTTATTCGCTTTCTCTTCTTCTTTATTTTTTTTTTCTTTCTTTCTGTTATCATCATTTTCGTTATTGTTTTCATTATTATTGTTGCTATGATTTCATTTTCATGATTAATGTCAATACTGGCATTATTATTATTATTATTATCCTGTTGATATTTTCATTATCATGTGTGTGTATTATTACTATTATCATTATCATTATTATTATTATTATAATGATATCAACGACAATAATTATAATGATAAGAATAGTAATAATGAAATGATAATATCAGTAATAATAATAATGATATATGATAAGGATGATAATTGTGATATTAATAATGATGATAATGATAATGATGTTGATAATAATGATAATAGTAATAATGATAATGATAACAGTAATAACGATGAGCATAACAATGATAATAAAACGATTGCAATAACATATATTACCAGTTACAGTAATAACACAGGTTGAGTCAGTCTAACAACACCCAATACTGTCAAGGATAAAACAGAAATACTGTCAAGTAATTATATAGTAAATCATCTCCTTTATGACAGAGACGCAGAGGATTTTTTACCTTGTTGTTGGAAAGCATTAGGACGGTTTTTCATTGTCATCTTCATTTGCTCAAAACGCCGTAGTTCTGTTGTGAAAGTAATAAGATGTGAAGATAAAATATTGGTTATTTTTCATTGATGCTTTCAAAGAAGGGTGGTGGCAGCTGTACAGGCGTGTGTGTGTGTGTGTGTGTGTGTGTGTGTGTGTGTGTGTGTGTGTGTGTGTGTGTGTGTGTGTGTGTGTGTGTGTGTGTGTGTGTGTGTGTGTGTGTGTGTGTGTGTGTGTGTGTGCGTGTGTGTGTGTGTGTGTGTGTGTGTGTGTGTGTGTGTGTGTGTGTGTGTGTGTGTGTGTGTGTGTGTGTGTGTGTGTGTGTGTGTGTGTGTGTGTGTGTGTGTGTGTGTGTGTGTGTGTGTGTGTGTGCGTGTGTGTGTGTGTGTGTGCGTGTGTGTGTGTGTGTGTGTGTGTGTGTGTGTGTTGTGTGTGTGTGTGTGTGTGTGTGTGTGTGTGTGCTGTGAAGTGTGTGTGTGTAAATATTTGCTGATAGATTTCAGAAATATATATCACACACACACATATATATATGTGTGTATGTGTGTGTGTGTGTGTCTAGATATGTATAGGTATACACATGCATGCACAGATTTTTTCCCTTAACTTCTTTTTTAATTAAATTTTGTGTAAATAACCTTTACCAATCATTAACCAATCAATATTTTCTTCTTTTGCAGATCAACATGTCTCCCGTCCTGCCACATCAGTCAAAAAAAGCAAAAACGTGAGAAGTGTTTAATGTGAAGTGTATTTTTTTCTTTTCTCTTTTTTATTTACCAATATGGCTTATATTTGTTCTGTGTGTGATATTCCGTTTTATACATTCGGAATAAAAAGTTTTAAAAGAATCCATATGGTATTTTTTTTCTCTTTCTCTTCTGCTCTTTTTTATGTCGAAATTCTTTTTTTTTTTTTTTTTTTTTTTTGTCTAGTTCTCCATTCCGCAAATCTAACGGTAAAAAAAAAAAAAAACGTTAGTCATGCCTTTATTTGCCTATAGATGGATATCGAGGTGGTGGCAGTGAGGCTGTTGGTAATGGTGTCAGGGAGGATGGTACTGGCAGAAGCTTTTATGTCGGAGAGAATAGTGGTGTTGGCAGAGGTTTTCATGTTGGTGTGGGTCTGAAAGGAAAGTTTGGTGTTGGCAGAAGTTTTGAAATGGAAGTTTGGTGTTGGCAGAAGTTTTCATGTTGGTGTGGGTCTGAAAGGAAAGTTTGGTGTTGTGGTGTTGGCAGAAGTTCTCATGTTGGTGTGGGTCTGAAAGGAAAGTTTGGTGTTGGCAGAAGTTTTCATGTTGGTGTGGCTCTGAAATGAAAGTTTGGTGTTGGCAGAAGTTCTCATGTTGGTGTGGCTCTGAAATGAAAGTTTGGTGTTGGCAGAAGTTTTCATGTTGGTGTGGCTCTGAAATGAAAGTTTGGTGTTGGCAGAAGTTTCCATGTTGGTGTGGGTCTGAAATGAAAGTTTGGTGTTGGCAGAATTTCCATGTTGGGTGTGGGGTCTGAAATGAAAGTTTGGTGTTGGCAGAAGTTCCCATGTTGGTGTGGCTCTGAAATGAAAGTTTGGTGTTGGCAGAAGTTTCCATGTTGGTGTGAGTCTGAAATGAAAGTTTGGTGTTGGCAGAAGTTCTCATATTGGTGTGGGTCTGAAATGAAAGTTTGGTGTTGGCAGAAGTTTTCATGTTGGTGTGGGTCTGAAATGGCAGAATTTGTCATGTAAATGTGGGAATGAAATGAAATTATGTTGTTGGCAGTTATCCTATAGGTTGGTCTGAAATGTGATTTTGGTGTTGGCAGAAAATTTCAGATAAGTGTTCGTCTGAAAGGAAACTTCAGTGTTTGTAGAGGTTTTGGTGTAAATGTGATGAAATTATTTCTTTTTAGTGTTGTCAAATGTCCTAATGTTGGCAGCAGCTAGGATCTTGGTGTTGGTGTCCATATCTCTCACGTAAATTTTCACACAAAAATTCTTATCATTTATCTTATCTTATCATCTTTTTCTTATTATATTATTTGTTACAAGAAATTACATAGCTTTTATTCTCCTCATCTATATATTTATCATGTTCGTTATCATTTATTCATCCTTACGATTTACAATCTAGTTATGTAATAAGGGTTTATATTTCATGTGCAAATATGGGTAAATATCTTTCTTTTATTGTTATTTTTTTCTTTTTTTCTTTTTCTTTTTCTTATTTCCTACAAACGCAATCAACATATGAACGCTTACCTAAACATACACACACACACACACACACACACACACACACACACACACACACGCACACACACACACACACACACACACACACACACACACACACACACACACACACACACACACACACACACACACACACACACACACACACACACAACACACACACACACACACACACGCACACACACACACACACATTTGTTTGTGTTTACACACCATGCTCAGGAGTTAAAATAAGAAATAATACGAAACACCACACGCCCCCTCCCCCCGTCCTCCCCCCCCCCGCCCACCAGCTCTCTCTCTCAAAAAAAAAATATCATGAACTGTTATTAATTTGTTCTGTGTTCCGGTTATTCTCTGGAATGTCGTTCTTCACGCGGCTCATTAGCGTAATGCCGGTAATTATTATTTCATATCCGCTGGCCTAATTATCAATAATATAAACACACGCAATAAAATTGAGGGAATGGAGTGAGTGAGAGAGAGTGAGGGAAATAAGGGAAGAGAGATCGAATGCACAGACAGACGTATCTAACTTTCAAGCTCTCTCTCTCTCTCTCTCTCTCTTCTCTTTCTCTTCTCTTCTCTGTCTCTGTCTCTCTGTCTCTTTCTCTTTTCTTTCTCTTTCTCTTTCTCTTTCTCTTTCTCTTTCTCTTTCTCTTTCTCTTTCTCTTTCTCTTTCTCTTCTCTCTTCTCTTTCTCTTTCTCTTTCTCTTTCTCTTTCTCTCTCTCTCTCTCTCTCTCTCTCTCTCTCTCTCTCTCTCTCTCTCTCTCTTTTTCTCTCTCTCTCTCTACGTTCATCCTTATTCATATTCTCCTCCTTTTCCCCCTCTTTCTCCTTGCTCTTTCTTCTCTTCTTCCTCTCCTTGTCTTCTTCCTCTTGCCCCTTGTTGTCCTCCTCATTATCCCCCTCTTCCTTTTCCATCATCTTCTCCCTCCTCCTCCCCTTCCTCCTCTTATTTTTCTTCCTCACCACCGCCTATCCTTCTTCCTCATCTTTCTTCACCACCAACACCCTTTCCTCCACCTCCTCCTTCTCCTGCTCCTCTTCCACCCTCCACCTCCTTGGTTTCCCCACCACCCTCCCCTTCCTTCTCCTCCATTTACTCCTCCTTCTCTCCTTCCAACAACTCCCCTCTCTCCTCCTCCGCTCCTCCTCCTTCTCCATCATTGCCATCCGACTTCTTCCCGCCATTTACTCCCTCTCCGCCACCTCCTCTGCCACTACCACCTCTTTCCACTACCTTCCTCCTGCTCTTTTCCCCACCAGCCCCCCTTCCACCACCTCTCCTTCCCACACCTCCTCCTCCTCCCTCTCCACTAACTCCTTCCATCATCACCTCCTCTCCTTCCCCCACCACCACCTCCTTCTCCTTCCTTCTTCTCCTCCTCCCAATACTACTATCACCCTCCTCTACCTTCCTCTTCACCACTCACCTCCTCCTCCTTTTCTTCTCCTCTGCCTCCACTCTTTCCACCACGCACCCTCCTCCTCCTCTCCACCTCCTCCATCCACCCCACGGCTCCTCCACTTCCTCCACCACCCCTCCTCCTCTCCCACCTCACCCTCCATCCACCACTTCCACCGTCCTCACACCATCCTCCTCCCTCCTCCCACCTCTCCTCCCCTCCCCTCCACCTCCACCTCCTCCCCATCACTCCCTCCACCTCCACCTCCACTCCACCTCCTCCACCTCTCTCCTCCACCTCCTCTCACCTCCTCCACCTCCTCCTCCTCCTCTCCTCCTCCACCTCCCCCCCCCCCCAGGCCCAAGGGAACGAGCGCGATCCCGAAGACAAAAACGTAAATTCTATAGCTGTCAAGAACACGAGAGCGAGAGAGATGCAGCCAGGAACGTCGTGTGCCTGGTGGCTTGGTTGGTGGGGTGTGGCAGAGTGGAAAGGGGGGTGGCAGGCTGTTGGCAGAGTGGGAAGGGGGGGAAGGGGTGGTAGGGCTGTTGGTTGAGGGGGGAGGGGTGGGAGTGGTGTTTGTGAGAGGGAGGGTGGGAGTGGTTTGGTTGAGGGGGGAGGGGTGGGAGTGGTGTTGGTTGAGGGGAGGGGTGGGGGTGGGAGTGGTGCTGGGTTCAAGTGGGGAGGTGGGGAGTGGTGTTGGTTGAGGGGGAGGGGTGGGAGTTGGTTGAGGGGGAGGGGTGGGAGTGTGTTGGTTGAGGGGGAGGGGGGGGGGAGTGGTGCTGGTTCAAGTGGAGGGTGGGAGTGGTGTTGGCAGAGTGTGCAGGGTGGCAGCAGGTGGGAAGGGGTGGGGGTGGGAGTGTGCTGGTTCAAGTGTGGGGAGGGGTGGAGTGGTGTTGGCAGAGTGGGGAAGGGTGGTAGTGGTGTGGTTGAGGGGGAAGGGGTGGGAGTGGTGTTGGCAGAGTGGGAAGGGGTGGTAGTGGTGTTGGTTGAGGGGGAAGGGGTGGGAGTGGGTGTTGGCAGAGTGGGGAGGGGTGGGGAGGGTGTGTGGCAGAGTGGGAGGGGTGGCAGGGCTGTTGGTTGAGGGGGAAGGGATGGGAGTGGTGTTGGCAGATTGGGGAGGAGTGGGAGTGGTGCTGGTTCAGTGGGAGGGGTGGGAGTGGTGTTGGTTCAAGTGGGAGGGGTGGTAGTGGTGTTGCAGAGTGGGGGGAGGGTGGGAGTGGTGCTGGTTTCAGTGGGAGGGTGGTAGTTGTGTTGGCAGAGTGGGAAAGGTGTTGGTAGTGGTGCAAGAAGTGGAAATGTAAGAATGGTAGTGTGTTGGTTGTGTTAGTGTAAAATTGGCGTTGGTAGTTGGTGTGGAGTGGTGTAGGTAGTGGTGTGGGTAGTAAGGATGGTAGGTTGGTGTTTATAGTGCTGGAAGGGAGGATAATACATGGTTAGTGTTGGTAGTATCCGTGTCAGCCTTGTGTTGGCAGCGACAAAGCCAGGTTCTGTTGGCAGTGGCGTTGGCAGTGGAAGTGTAAGACTGGAGTTGATAATGATGTTGGTAGAGCTTGTGTGTAAGGTTCATTTTGGCCAAAATATTGACGGAGATACGATGGTGTTGGCAGCGTTGGTAGTGAATGTGTAAAGTTAGTATTGGTTGTGATGATGGCAGTGGTTGTGTTGTTTTTACGTTCGTTATACTGGTAGCGGTAACGTAAGGGACGTGTTGTTAATGGTACAAGGACTGGTGTTATTAGTCTTGTGGGCAGTGATGTTGTCGTTGGTATTGGCACTGGTGTGGAAGTGTAAGGTAGTTCTTGGTAGTGGTAATAATAGCGATGTTATTGGCAGTCTAAAATTAGTATGGCAGCAATAATAACTACGTTCTTGGTATCGGCAATGGTATGATCGTGGTATAAACGGTATGAGCTGTTACGGTGGTATGGTATTAGTATGATACCAGTACGATTAGCGTATTGGCGCGGTATTAAAAGTGAAGTTAATGATGATTTTAGTCTTGGTAGTGGAGCTGGCAGTGTCATTGGATTGGAAGAAGGGGAGAGAAGATCAGGGAAGGAGAGAGGGAAGAAGGGGAGAGAAGATCAGGGTAAGAGAGAGGGAAGAAGGGGGAGAGGAGAAGGAGGAAGGGAGGGTGAGGAGAGGAGAAGGGAAGGAGGAGGGGTGAGGAAGGGAAGAAGGGAAGGGAAGGAGGAGGGATGAGGAGAAGGAGAAGG